GGTACTTGGACCCAAAATAAGGCATTGAGGCTCGACCTGATTTTGATGTGCGCTATCTGTAGAGCTACAGGGCATGGGTTGCAACACAATTTGACAAATTTTGACATCAAAATATATTACAGTTCAAATTGTTACGTTTATTTACAACTAGTTTCGATTTTTGCAACGCTCGTCTATACACTGCAGAAAGAGCCATATGCCAGCAGTGACAGCAGTGCCGAATGTGGTGGCGTTGGGATTTTCTTGTTGTTGTAGAAAGATTGCCTGACACGCCCCGTTTGACCTTGTCAAAAGCCTCTTCGCCGTGGAGCAACCGAGCTTTGAAGATCGGTCCCAGGGGGTGGTACGTGTGTTTGCTTGTAACTACGACACGAAATGGGTACAACACAAAGAGTCTACCTCGCGCCGCCCGCCCTAGTATTTCCTTGTACTTCGCACATCACCACAGCAGTATATAACGCTGCTGGACAATAACACTACACCGCTCAGATCGGAACCATTCATTGTGTAGTGTTTCGCCCATTGGCGAAGGCTGCGTTTATGATATCCAGCTTCAATTTCATGCCCTAGTGGGAATGGATATATCTACATGACATGATCAATCGTGCGAGAACTGCAAGGATTACTGACTGCAAGACATGATGCTGCTATGATTCGTGGACAGCAATGATTTGCTCGGGCTCCGCAGACGAGAAAAAAGCACGGGGGTATCATCGGATTTCGCGGCGCCCTTTCGCCCCTTCATCTGGACTTGAGCGGTAGGTGAAAGCCTTGCGGAGTCCACCACCACCACCACCGGCGAACCCGCGGAGATACGTGCGGCGCCCGCACCAGTAGTCGTAGCTAGCCTTATTGCAAGCGACTCCTGTTTGTAGAGGTGTATCCAAGGGCTTTGCTGTGGCACGGAGGAAAGAACGCACCGCGCTGTCGTGTGTGCGGGAGAGGGCAGGTGTGATCGGAACAAACGAGGGCAAAGAGGGAGGAGCACGGCGACCCGGCTCTGCTGAGAAGGGAAACAGCACAGCGGCTGTTTGCCGTGGGTTGACTGCTGCTGGTCGCGCGTGTCAGGAGCGCTCTCGGTGCTTTTGTTGTGGGCACGCACAAGTTCCCAGCAGCTGCTTCTTCTTTCCGCTGCTCCAAACATGGTGAGATTGCCGGAGGGATAGGGGGGGGGGGCTGTTGGTGATTCGGTGGGCGGGTGATGATTCTGACCGAGCACGAAGACAACGAGACACTACGCGACACACCCGCTGCAGGTTGCCGATGAAACCAAGGGTGCCGTTTCTCCTGTCACCTCGTATTCTGTGTCCCAACAACGCAGCGCAGCTGTGTTGCAAAGGAAATATGCAATGTGCGGTGGGAACATTTTTTGGCGTCGTGGTTATTTTTCAGTATTCTACAGCTGTAGCACACCGTAGACTGACTTTGAGTGTTGGGCTCCGTCACGCACACCCTTTGGTGTTGCGCTCCTTAAAGCAGGCTAGCCGCGACTGCCCTGGACATACTTTCAGCAGTTTCTGCCCAGAAACTACTTCAAGCTTTGCGCAACAGCGTATGCAAATAGTGCAACAGCAGCAGTCCGCCTCTTTGTGTGTACCGTACCTACGCTACCCCCCGCTCACAGCCGTTTAGGACGAAACTCTCACTTACAATGTAATATGACGCAATATATCATACCCCCTTGGGCTGATCTTCTAAGCGTCGTTCCTTGACTTGACGATGAAGATGATGTTACCTCACGCGTTATGTTTTCGGAAAAGCTAAAGCTGCGTTCGACGGTTCCAACGCCGCCATGTTTCGGCACAGTCACTCTGGTTTTGCCGCAGAGTATGTTAGCCGAGGACGAACCTCTCGCAAGGTAGGTGACACAAGACATCACACCCCCTGGCCCGATCCTCGAAGCTTGATTTCTTGACGATGAAGAGGATGTACCATACCTCAAGCAATAATTCGTTTTCGGAAAGCTTTGCACGCAACGCCGCCATTTTTTGGTGCCGCCATTCTGTTTTTGCCGTGGAGTAATCAAGCTGTGAAAATCTGTCCAGGGGGGTTGGGGGGGGTGATATATTGCGTCACCTACGACTGTCGGGCAGCCACATGCCGTACGCCTTGAACTGAAAAGCCGTCGGTGGGACCGTCGGTGGGAGTACGGCCCCCTGGAGAGGCGTTATGCACAGCAAGAAGAAGCAGAGCTGTATCTCCTCCTGTCTGATTTTTGTGTGTCTCGAGGGATTGCTGGTTACAGCAGTCTTTTTAGAAAGTGTACCTTACCTCACGGAAAGACCACCCGTTCGAGATAATACAGCAGTACCGATCTTTTATTTGGCGGTCGTTGTTTTCCCACCCCCCACCTTCCATCTTTAACCCCCCTCTGGGTCACCGCCGAGATGAGAAAGTGGTTAAGAAACCGAACCGAACGAGTGCTGTGCTGTTAAACCTGTTACCGACAGGAGAGGTGTCAATGCTGCATGTGACATGAAGACCAGTAGGGTCACAGACAGCCCATGCGACAACACTACACTAGTCCCTAGACTCCTATAAGCGTGTGTCTGGGGGTCGAGATAAATCGTGTTTTTTCCCTCACATTCCGTTGAAAAAAAGAAGAAAAAAAATCCCAGCTCATGTTGGAGAGGTACTGAGCCCTTTCTGGAATCTGCTCTTGATTGGCCACTCACTACCATACACCACAGCAGTTGTAGGTGTTCTTTCGTTGTTGAGCTACATCAGTCAGGCGGAGGTAGAAAAAATCGACTCAATCGAAAGAGGTCATGCCAAGGGAATGGCTATGCTCGTGCGTCCTGACAACTCTAACGCTCTCTGCTTGTACAGCAGTAGTTTGCGCCCGCACTTCACAACTTGGCAGCTACTAAGTTCACGCTCAACAGCATACCAAACCATCATTTGTGACCCCGGCTTTAAGACCCCCTGCCCTAAAACCTATGTACCCATTAGCGGTCGTTTGTAGCCTGACCCAAAAGACAACGAACCCCAGCCACGGCCGAAATTAGAGGTTCTCACAGGTGAGGGTTAAGCGCGAACTGTAAGCAACGGGAATGGCCATTTTTTGTAAGCAATTTCCGTCATATTTTGCTTGGAACACCTGGAGTTCGGCGGAGAAAGAAAGCTGCAAAGGCGGGCTGTCTGTCGTAACCAGCTTTGAAAGCGTCGCCACACCTCCAAACTGCAGTGACGCCCATAGCTCTATGCACTAGACCTCGTGAACCAGTATTGTAAGGTACACACGAAGGTATTTTGTGCCTTCATGTCCATTCCAGCAGCGTCCGGCAGCAGTTCACCCAAAGACAGACCACAGAACACGGCAGCAGTTAATGTCGGCTGCGGCCTGCATCCAGACGTCGCGTGGCCTTCCCCTAGATCTGCTGCGATTGCCACGATTTCTTCTACTACGGCTCCTGTTTCTCCTACACAGCTGTTTCTGCCTCTAGCATTCTATGGACTACTTCCACCACTTGTATACACTAGAGCTTTTATCACGATATTGCGTCCCAAACCTGTAATACATAAAACTACCCAAAACAAGAACACAAGCAACACCCCAAACCCAATATATATATATATATATATGGAACACGTGTTCGGCGCTTCTACTACTGCTGTTCCTACGTCTAGCGCTGGTGGGCGTGCATCAGTACACGCGTTTAGAATGTCCGCGCCGTGTCCACGGTGACACCTTGACGGAAAGTATCCACAACATGCCGTCACACGCCCCATGCACACGCTCGGACACGAGAGAGTCAGCGAGAGCGTCGAGCTGGTTTTCCTGCGTCTCTCTCCACACACGCCCCCGCGGCGGAACCTAGTGGAACTGGTTCGATTCTCACGACGACATACCTTCTTTTGTTTGTTTTTCTTACAAGCAGCACAACAAAGAGAAGAGAGTCCGCGATAGATTGGCATTCATTGTCTTGTGTGATGACCCAGCTTGAATTCCTATGGTTCCAGAGCAGCATACAGGACGCGCCTGCACTCGAGAACCGAGGGGCTCAGAAACTGAGCCTCAACAGAATCAAAATTGAAGAACTTGAGCACCATTTGTTGTGAGGTCGGTTAAGAACCCCGACACTAAAACCTTTGTAGCGACCATTCGTAGCATGACCCTAGGAATAAACCCACCGCAGCCTCGGCCGACACTTGGGGCTGTTAGGTACCGGCGCGTTCTGTATAGCGTAGGTTGCGTAAGATAACACACCCCCTGGGTCGATTTTCAAAGGTCGATTACTCCACGACGAAGAGGATGCCGAAATCAAAGGATATGTTCAGTAGCAGCGAGCGAAAAACAACCTGTTGTTCCTCGTGTCCGCTCTCGACTACACGGTCCCGATGCCGTAATTTTCGGCACCGTCACTCACTACTTTTTTTCTGCCGAGAGCTGGAGCTTCGAAAGTCGGTCCAGGGGGTGTGATATCTTATGCAACCCTCGGTAGCGGAACCAACAGTTAGCCCCCGCACTTGACCGACAAGGGCTTGATGCTCAATATTGTAGAGTACAGGGGGGCGGGGGCGGGGGGGGGGGCGTCAACAACCCCGGTCCATTAGCGCCGGTGGCGGCCCTGCATAGCGCCGGTGAAAAAAGCAAAAATTGCTGGGCACGTACTGAAACGCCAAGCAAGTCGTTCTGTGCAATTGAAAAGCACCAGTCGGTTCGCCGCGCACGAACCGGCGATGTTGAGGGGCCCGCACTGCTGTATCAAACCTAAGAAGCTGAACGCCCTTTTGGTGAGCCTGGGTGTGCACCCCTTTCACTTCATAACCCTCTCTGGCGGCCATACCCTAGGAACTAAGAACCCCAGGCTCGGCCACTGCTAGAGGTACGTTAGTGCGGTCGCTGTTTAAATGGCTGTGTCGAAACGGATTCAATTCTCACGACGGGCAGCGCTTTGTTCATCAGAGAGTAGGGGGAAAAGCTGCTGCTTGCCACCGCGGTCCGGCTGGCATTGTGCCGTTCGAGTGACAACTTTGAAGGGGCTTGGCCGGAAAAAATGGTTCTCGGCCTCTGCTGTACCCACCTCATGTCGAGAGGACACGCGGACTCATGCCAACATGCGATTCGGCGGCAGGCTGCTATAGTACGATGGAGGGCGTGTGGGACATGCAAGACGAACCCCTTTTTTTTCTTTTGTTGTTCTTTCCACACCGGTGTTGAAAATCGTACGGCAATGCAACCGGTATAGACGTTGTTACATTGGTAGGACTTCAGGAAAAACGGAAAAAATGCCCGCTGCCGTGATGCAAGAAACATGCTTCGCCCCAACAAGGGTTGGGTTTCTGGGAAAAATAACTCTCTGTAACTTCCTCTGTATGTCGCAGCTCAATCATGGACATCTCTCTCTCCCTTTCTTCATTCATGAAACGGACACAATTTGGCACATGAACCCGGATCCGCACTCACAGTTGAATATTTGTCTTTGTCTTGTGTACCTTCCTAAATCTTCGTCGTATGTTCACTACGTTCTCGAAGGCCAATGCCCCCGGTCAGCCCTAATTTCGACCTTCGTCTTTGTCCCTGCATCCATTGGCCAGTAGCTTTCGCAGGTTTTCAACGAACAAAACATGTTGGATAAAGCGTGCAATCGGGGAAGTTGGGTTAGGGTTAGGGTTAGGGATACGGTCTGCGTACCCCCCTCCCTGTTCTATTTCTTCATGAACTTATTTCCTCGCGAAGGCGTTTCTTGGTCCATGTAGGCACTCCTTGAACACCGTTCTTCTTCTTCTTTCAATAAAGTATGTTCTCGGGGCCTGCACGATGTTGAAACGCCGACCAGACCGAGGCAAAGACTGCAATATGCTTGTAGGAGTGTTTTCCTGCTTTTTGGTTGTCAACAAGGGCGGGAATGCTGCAGTACTCGGCACACATCTGGACTCCCCCTCCCACACACACACCGTGATATCGATATATAGGATAGGGAAAAACAAGTTCTTACACCACCTTTGCCAAAGTAGCGAGGAACGATTGGCCATCGGTGATCGGTCCTGTGGGAACAACGCTCCGTCCTCTCTAGAACGCGTGGTCAATTGTCTAACAACAATGGCACCCTCTGTGTTGTTTTTTTTTATCTTTCGGTGCAACTTCTCACCTCTCGTCTAATTTCTCATAATTTGTTGTCACTATTTCGTTCGCTATGTTGTCTCGCATGTGTGCACGTTTTTTCATTGTCTTTTTTTTTTCTTGAAGCCGCTTCGTTTGGAGATCAAGAAGCTCCTCTCTTCCCGGTCCGACCGCGTGAAGTGCGTCGACATCCACCCCACCGAGCCGTGGGTGCTCAGCGCCCTCTACAACGGCCATGTCTTCATCTGGGATTACCAGGTACTCTTTGCCATTCTGTTCTGTTCTGTTCTGCTCTTAGGCGGTTATCTTGCTCCCGACCATGTCTTCATCTCGGATTACCAGGTACTTTGGTCATTCTTGTTCTGTTCTGTTCTTAACCGTTGCCTTGTAGTTGGTAAGACATTCTGTTCTGCTCTTAGGCCGTTGTCTTGCTCTCGGCTATGCCTCCATCTGGGATTACCAGCTACTTTTGTCATTCTGTTCTGTTATGTTCTTAACCTTTGTCTTGTAGTTGGTAAAATATTATGTTCTGCTCTTAGACCGTTGTCTTGCTCTCGGCCAGTTTGTTCATCAGTCGGTGTTCTGTTGAGTTTTTTTCTTGTTCTCTTCGCATGTTTTTCTGTGTGTTGTTTACATGTCTTCTTGCGTGCTTCGTTCTGTGTGTAGCGATTTTACAAATTTACTTGCCGATTGGACCTCCTGCAATGCATGTGAACCAGGGTGTTTGCTGCCTCCCCCACCCCCATCCCTGCGTACCCCCTCTCCGGAAACCAGTACGAAGCATGCATTCACTATTTACCTTGACCCCCCCCCAAAATTACCTCATTCACGTCTCCCCCAGGCGAGCTCGATGGTCAAGTCGTTCGAGGTGTGCCAGCTTCCGGTCCGGTGCGCCCGTTTCATCGTGAGGAAGCAGTGGTTTATCACGGCGAGCGATGACATGCACATCCGCGTGTTCAACTACAACACCATGGAGAAGGCAAGAGGGAGGCTGTTTTCGTTTTTTCGTGTTTTTTTTTTCGTTGTACGGTAGCGGTATCGTACGGATGTATCATGACTGTGCGGAAAGAGGTCTTTGTTTTCTGCTCCAGCTGCAACGAACGCCATGGACAAGGACAAGGCAAAGAAGGCTGAGTTTCGTTTTAATGGTTCGTCTTTCATTGCACGTTCGTCAAACGGTGGCTGTCATATGGAAGCGTGTGTATCAGTTTATGTTTGTGTGCACTTTGTCGTCACCGCATCGAAATAGGCGTTTTTTCTTCTTCCTCAACTTCAACGAACGCTGTGGAGAAGGCAAGGCTGCCACACCGTTTTTTTTTGTGTGTGTCCTACCCCCCTCCCCCCACCCCTCGTCACATCCAAGCGTGAGAGGCCGACATTTGCTACATCTGCTCCCCCCCAAATGATTATTCGAAATAATATATTTTTGTCCCCCACCCACCCTCGTCAGATTCAAGCGTGGGAGGCCCACACCGACTACATCCGCTACCTGGAGGTCCACCCGACGCTGCCGTACGTGCTCTCCGCCTCTGACGACATGAGCGTCAAGCTCTGGGACTGGGAGAGGCAGTGGGACTGCACGCAGGTACTGTAGCGTCCCCTTCCCTTCGAAGGATGCACGACAGTTTCACTGACGTCTCCTGGTTGATCGACCGGTTAAGTAGCGCGGTCCATGCCACTCTAGTTGTAGGCAGTGGGACTGCACGCAGGTGTTGTATACCGTAGGTGACGGAAGATAACACCCCCCCCCGAGATCGATTGCGACAGCTCCACCACTCCAACACGAAAACGAGATAGTATGTATGGCTCAAATCGGACGTTTTCGGAAAGCTCTCTCGAGAAGACGGTGCTGACGCCGCTATTTTCGGAAAGCACCGCCGCTCTTTGTGGCGTGGAAAAGTCGAGCTTTGAAAGTTAGGCCAGGGGGGGTGGTATCTTATGTCATACCATATCCGGCAATGTTCGCCCGTCGCCCCCTTCGAAGGATGCACCACAGGTTCACTGACGTCTTCTCGTTGATCGGCCGGTTATGTAGCGCGGTCCGTCTTGCTCCATTAGTTATAGAAACACAAATCTACCCCCACGCACGTTGTTTCCGATGGTTTTGTGGTTCCGTTCGGTGGGAACAGGAACTCATTAGCCTGCTACAGCAGTAGTGCACTGATCTTCAATGTACCCACAAGCCCCGGTGGCACCTGTATCGTGTCTATTTGTGCTGCGGGTGTTTTCTGATGGTTTCGTTGTTGCGTTTGGTGGGAACAGCAATAACTTGACGTGGCCCATGCTGCACACCTACACCCACGTTGTTTGCTAACGGTTTTTGTGATTCCGTTCGGTGGGAACAGTTGTTCAACACGCGGTGCAGGTGTTCGAGGGCCACTCTAGCGTGGTCGATGCTGTCCTAAATAGATGCTGTGCTAGTTGCTGGAACACAAACCTACCCACGCACGTTGTTTCTAATGGTTTTGTCATTTCGTTTGATGGGAGCAACAACACAAAACAGCTAGTTTTAAGGGAACACACGAATGCACCTACCCACGCGTGTTGTTTTCTGATGCTGGTGTTGTTCCGTGTGGGAGGAACAACGTGTAAGTATGCGTTCAAACACAGCTTCCCACACGTATTGTTTTCTGATGCTGATGTTGTTCCGTTTGATGGGAACAACGTTTGATGTCTTCCCACACGTTTTGTTTTCTGATTCTGACGTTGTTCCGTTTGGTGCGTTCCGTTTGGTGTGTTCCGTTTGGTGGGAACAACGTTTGGTGTACGTGGTGTTCAGGTGTTCGAGGGCCACGCCCACTACGTGATGATGGTGAAGTTCAACCTCAAGGACTCCAACACCTTCGCTAGCGCTTCCCTCGACAGGTGAGCATCGCCTCTCCTCGGCGTCCACCTCGTCCTTGTCGTCCTTTTTGTTTCTCTTCTGTTTATATTTTGCACCCCTCCTGCGTGGCCCTGGATGATTGTAGGCGTACGAAAAAATACGCTGAAAAGTGTACTGCACGTCTCGCCACGAAAAATGGGGGGGCTGCTGCCTCCATAATAGGTAGGACGAGAACACAAAACACGCGCATACTTGTAGTCCCAGTGTTAAGTTGAGAAAACCCATCCCCGAAAAGAAGAAGAGTTTATTTTTGTTTTTTTGAACATTAAATATTGAATGTATAGTTGTGCCAGTGTTAATCAAGATGCCCCCCCCCATCCCCGCGCTAATGGGGCTAGACCCAGTTTCCCCCCCCCCCCCCCCCCCCCTTTAATTTGTGTGTGCCCCCCCCCCCGCCCGGGCACGGGCGTCGTCGCCATCACCTCGCGCCAAAATCTGATTCCCTTCTTGTCTTTTCCATTCCATTCCTTTCCTTTCCTTTCCTCTCCTTTACTCCGCAGGAGCGTGAAGGTCTGGGGGCTCGGCGCGCCCACGCCTCACTTCTCCCTGGAGGGCCACGAGAGGGGGGTCAAC